TAGACCAGCACATCGGAGAAGAGGAAGATGGTGCAGTTCACCGCGAATGACGAGGACAGCTTGAGCACCACCCCCTCCCTCAGCAACACACGGTCCGGCGTGGCCAGCACCTGCTCCACACAAACGCAAACGCAAACACAAAAGATGACGTCAGCGCCACATTAACCATGCCAGTTGTGGGTGTAGAGAGGAAGAGTACGGGGCAGGAGAAGAGCTGGCTCTGGATGTGGTAGATACGGTTGCGGTTCTCCATGCGCTTGAGCTGGTCGTCGATCCGAGTGGCGGTCTCCTGGAGCTGCTCCAGGGCCTCCCGCAGCAGGCCCTGGTCGGGATGGCCCGCGGGCGTCTTGGCCGCCAGCGCCCCCAGAAGCATCAGGTACCGCGGCAGCCGCTGGATGGGCAGAATCAGCCTCGAGCCTGTCGACACACACACACACAACACACAACACACAACACACAACACACACAACTCGCACGCACACACGCACACACGCACACACGAACACACACAACACAACACACGCACAAAGACATGAGATGTAAGATATGTGACATCGCGGCCAGGTCGTTGGTTGGCTGCCGGGTGAAAACTGAAACAAGCCGATCGCTTTGCGTAGATGACGTACCGAGGGTGAGTGCCTCGCAGCCGAAGCCGCCGACCTGCACTTGGTAGAGTAGGAACTGCTTGAAGCCGGCGTCCTGGCGCTCCAGCATGTCGACCGTCTCCACGGCCCGGTCGTAGTTGTGGTAGTACTCGTCGTAGACCTGCAACGACGGCACCTGCGCATTCCACGCCACCAACATCATCAGAAAAGAGAATCGTGGGCGCACTCTCTGTGTTATGTTCTCTCGCGAAGTCTCACACACGCACGCGCGCGACCGAAACCCAGCACAGGGAAATGAGGAGCACGCACCAGACGAAGGAAGACATCGCCGAGCTGCTGGTGTGGACCCCACGAGTGCAGGCGCTCCTCGAGTGCGGCGAGCAGCTCGGAGCTGATGGCCCACAGCCGTTCGATGTTGCCGAACATGTGGCCCAGCTGCTCCTCGGCCACCAGTCCTTGCACCCGCAGCGGCTGCAGATAGGTCTGCC